ATAAATGACTGGATTTATCCCTTATCTGGAGAAAAAATAGTATGCTTTTATCCAGTACCTATACAAGAAAATTATAAAGTTAATTCTGCACCTAAGCACAGACAGAGGTACTGGTTCACAAACTAATGACCACCATAAGATGAAAGTGCTCTCCACTTCACCTCCCATCCTGAAGTGCACAATGGACAAGCATTTGATTGGCCCTAAGGCCAAGACAGACATGGTAATAAAAACCTCAATACAGTCCCTACCATCTGAATGCTAGTCAATCATATGTACAGCAGTGGTTCTCAAACACGTTTGTTGTACATTAAATTATTCTGGAGGTTCAGCAAAAGAAATACATACAGTAATGAAACACTTCCTGTGCATCTCAGTGTTACTTGGTGGAGATTATTTTTTTTTTGTCATAATGATGTTCTATTTGTTTTGGAAAGATATTACTTCCTATGGTCTATTCCATATACAGAGTTGAGATGTATAAATATGTATTGCTTATAATAAAGCCTTACAGAAGTAAAATACTTCATGAAGCTACATAAATATTTAGTGGGTATCAGCCATATTAAATAGTGTGTGGAAGAAGAGAAAGGGACACACAAGAAAGAATGTAGATTACAGAAGGCTGCAGACATTCAGCTCGATTCTTAAGAATGAGGTTTGTGGAATGTTGGAATCACTGTTCTATAGCCAATTCACCTTTAACAACAATATCACAAAAACACATCTAAAATAAAACCTCAGTCTAATCCACACTACCACAGGACTTATACCACACAGTTCCCTCATCTCTTCAACAATGCAAGCTTGAAGCTGGTCTCTTGAAGCACAATACAATGACAATGTCTCAAGAAAAAGTCATAGAACTGTCAAATAAGTAATACATTTTCCTGCAAAAAACCCTTAAACTCTAATACTGCAAGACTACTGTATGCAATGGATTGACTGGTCATTACTTATATAATTTATTTCTGTATGATACATATTTATTTTGCAGAAAAAGTATAAAAAATATGTCTTGAGATAATAATTCATTCAAAATATTTGTTAAAATCTTATTGAGAAATTTTGATCATATGAGAAGTATCAGACTTGATTCTTACAAAAGTGAAATCTAAAGTCATTTGCTTAAGGTTCATACTTTCCTTCAAATGCTTCAGTTTCTATAGCAAATAAAGTAATAACTATAAATCAATAATTATAATATTAATAGCCAAGTTTAATGATTCATTTCTGTGTATAATTTTCAGTAGCAGAGATTCCACATGTGTTCAATTTGTCAGATATAATATCAAAGTTTTGCACCAATACACATAATTTGATACTACTGACTAGTCATTAGATACATACCTACAAGAATAATAGCTGACAAGCTTTTCTTCTGGTGGCATGTTGAACAGACGGTGAAATTTAAAGGATACTGTCTTGAATGACTGTGTCTCTTCGTCTAAATAAGAAATATATTAATTACAAACTTCATTATAATACAAAATGTCCCAAAAAGATATATACACACAAGATCAATGTTCTGTATTAAAATCACTATAATCATTATAATTATACATCCTTTTAGGGCACCTGCAAATAAAAATGTAGAAATTATTTATTTTTGTTTGTTTGTATCCACATTTTAGTTTTCTTATTGTGCCTGTGGAGACTGGCTATATATGGCTAATGGTCATTTTTTTAATTGGAAGGAGTTACAAATGGAGTGGTCACATGTTTCTCAAAAATACTACTAACATCAGGATTCAGTGTCTAAAGAAAACCATGAAAACTCAATATCAACAACCTAAATACCAAATACACATTAAATCTGTTCGGTAGTTTCAGAGGTAAAAAATGCCCAAACAGCAATCCAAATTATTAATTACATTAAAAAAGGTTATCCACTCTTCAAAGGCAGAGTTTTATTTTTTTTTATTATTAGTGTTCTGACTGATGACAGGTCCATATATTATGAACAGGATCCTTCCACCCTCTTCAGGTTGTCAGGGACCTGCTCATACATATATATATACATTCTTGGCAGATGATCAGAAGTGGTTTGCCATTGCCTTCTTCAGTGTGTGTGAGTGGAGTAATTGTTTGGATGCCACGGAGAAACTTGGGAAGCCCCCGGAGGAAAACTCTGTGATGCCTAGACCACGGCCTTGCCCAACACAAGTTATAAATCTGAGCACCACCGGGAATTGAACCCGGGACCCCATGATTACAAGGCTAGTGTTCTGACCGCTAGACCACCGTGGCAGCCCAAAAGGCAGAGTTATCATTTGCTATAATATACCCATGAAAAGTAGATTTTAACTTACCACGGATATGTAAATAAATCAAAATTGCATTAGGCCGGGCGCAAACGGAGCCACTAGTGGCTAAACACAACCACTTGTGGCTAAACACGACCACTAGCGGGATAAACAGTGGTCGGAGGCAGCCACAAGTAGCGAGACACGGCCACTACCGCAGCGAGTGGCCCAGTAGGGCCACTACGAACGCCGTGTCTGCGCTGTCTATTAAAACTCCATACAAAATACAGTCTGCAGCTTGTGGCGGCCACAAGTGGCTGTGGCTCCATTTGCGCCCGGCCTTAAATAAGATATTCTGTATTTTGCTTCCTAAATGTGAGAATAATAAACAAGTTTGCCTGCTTAAAACACTATAAATCAAATATAAATTGATAATATGCTACAATCATCTAAAATGTACACACACAGACAAATGGTAACTTGAATGACAATGTTTTCACATGTAAGTATCGTTAAGGTTCATGCAGATAACTCCAGCTATAAAAAATTCTTTATTTACATATAAATATGTTAAAATCACATGCAAATAAGCTCTTAAAAGCTAAACAAGGAACAATTTAATTTTATACGTAGAGAGAAACTGTGGTACCAAATTATCATACTGTACTGCATGGGAGTTCTTCATATACAGCAAAATATAATGTGTGATTTATGCCAACATTTTCCATTTAAATGGATGGCCTTGTTATAGAAAAAGTTATAAGATGCAGATTTAAATACAGACTACAGCACAAACAGACCATACCATCAAGGCTTGTGAAGTGTATACAGAAGAAGCTGAAATTAAGTACCTAACACAGTAAAGATATACAAGTACTGAAATATGAAGCATGACATACCGTCTGCTCCTTGGTTATCAGGTACAGTATTAGCAATCACTGACTGGATCTTGCAGCACACAAATTCTGTGACATCTTCCTCATTATCAAATGAATTCAGAGTGTCTGACAGATTTCTCTGCAGCCATTCCCAGTCTTTCTCTATCTCAGTGAATGTTAGTGAACAAGCAATTACTAAACATGAAAAAGATAACAGTATATTCAATAACAAATAAATCACTTAATTCAGTTGTATCACTAATCAGTAATTAATAGCAGGTTGAAGTAGTACAAGACTTCCCACCTATGCTTCCATACCAGAAAACAACCAACAATATAATGTAACATTGCACCTCATCTCACAACAGAACACATGCTTCCTTTCCTTCCTCACCTCAAGCTACTACTACTTTCTGATGTCACGATGTAACATAACGTAGATAAGCCTGTATTCAAATCTGTGTTGTTCTGCAGAAAAGGGAACTCTGTTGGAAGCAGGATTGTGGAATAGGATACCTAACATCACTTCTATAAGAAAGTAAAGTTAATTTGTCCATAAAAAAGTACTACTATATTGAGGCATAATAAAACAATAAACACTTCTGAAACTGAATAAACTAAATACAAGTAACAGCAACATCAGAGATGTGAGGATGTGATTTCTTAACTCACAATAGTAAACTTCTGATGATGGGGTCTGATGTAAGATTCTAAATGGGGGTGGTTTTGTATCAAACACACTGTCCAATGTACCAACAAGAATGGATGACAGGCCCTTTGTTTTCCCATGGCCTTTTCGCCTCTGAAGCACAAAGTAAAGGTTAGCCTGTTCTGTCACCCTGAAAGAAGTAAAGCAAGAAAAGTCGTAGTATTTTAACTCATGACCACGTACTGGTCATTTTACGGTATTCTTACAAAGCACTTAAATGTTATACATATAAGCATCAGACATGTCACAAAAATACAAGAATGTAAGCAAAAGTATTTGAATCTTACACACCACAGTGCATTTGCTAACAGGACCTCTTGAGGTTTAACCCACATTTCTTAAAATGGGATAACAAAACGAAACACTGGATTAAAAAATAAAACTACCAAGGAACCATTGTCAGTCTACGTATTAATTCGATGTTATGTGTCACATAAAGATAGTAAAGAATATTCACAATTAGTCACATTGATAAAACTTGATTAATATGTTTCACAGATATACCCAACTTAAAATCAGTAACTTAATGTCGAATGTAAGCAACGAATTTGGCCAATTACGGCATGTGCTGTTACCTATCAGCATTCGTTATAAAACTACTATTAGAACGACCCGGCGACCAGTCGGTAACAACGTCAACTACTACCCAGCAATTAACCATCATCATAGTAGCCACTGTAGGAATCTGAAATCTCAGCTTTACAAACTTCGTCCGTGATAATGCTAAGTAACATCCACTTTTAAAAACACATACATGTGTCTTGGTTAAAACCAGTATCATTTCACTCTTTTACATCAGGAAATTTTCCCAGCAGTTCCTCTTAAAAGTGTAAACATTTAAACTAAAACAATTAGTCAATCAATCCAGCATTCCCTTTCTGAACTATATCACAGGTAAGAAACTTTAGTATTCATAAGCATCTGGAACAGCTGATGTTCTGCAAACTTTAAAGAATAATGTTTCCATTACAGATATGTATATTCAACCTCACAACTCTAATTTACAACTTGTCATGTAAAACACTTTTTCACTTTTTTTACTGTAATTTATTATTAATGATGTGTAACATGCAATCATGCTCAAGTTCCCATATATTATTCACTTTTTCATGAAAAAATTAAGTAACCCAGATAATATTAATTCACGAAACTAGAATACATGTACAATGTTTAAAGATTTCCAAGTAATCTGATGATCTGAAATAACTCTGCAACAAACCAATATAAAACATTTGCTGAAACACAGATTTATAATACTGAAAAACGATATTAGTACAGGATGTAGTTTCTAAATAAAAATTTCAAACTTTTAAATACAATCTTCAAAGTTGCCACAATGAAATAAACCCAAAATATACATTAAATTCTATTTAAATGTATAAATGATGTATGATAATGTAGAAGTCAGCCACAGTTATTAATAATGTTGAAATTCAACACAAGAAATTAATTTACTGGTGAAAAAACTGAAAATCTATTAAAGCAAACTTTCAAAACATAAAGTATCACCGTGAAAGTTTCATAAACTGATCACAAATATGCATGGTTGTAATTTAGACCACTGATAAAACTCAAGGTTCCTTCATCTTCCTGAGAACAGCGTAGTAGGAGTATGCCCGCCGGAGAATCTGGAACACCCAACAAAACTGATAAATATGCAACTACTCATGTTTTATGTACAATAGTGTTTCACGATAAAATAATTATTACAACTTTAGCTGTAAAACACATATTATAAACCCATACTCAACTTTATCCAGTAGTATTTATTTTTTTAAGTAGGCTTAAAGTTTTTTCTTTTCATGTCCAGTACACACATTCAGCTTGGTGTGAATTGGTGGTTAGCAGGGTTCACGACCCATCAGTACATGGGTTCGACCGGGACCGCGACATTTAACGCTCCTGCTGTGACCCCCTTTTTTTGCGAGATGATGATGAAAGTGGAGTAATTGTTGGGATGCCACGGAGAAACCGGGGAAACCCCGGAGGAAAACTCCGTGATGCCTAGACCACGGCCTTGCCCAACACAAGTTGTAAATCTGAGCACCGCCGGGAATCGAACCCGGGACCCCAGTATTACAAGCCCAGCGTTTTTGACTCATCTCATTGTAGGCATGAAACAAATTAATGTTAAGAATATAGGTCAATGGCATAAATATTACTCAAGAATGTCTTCGTGGTTATATTATGCTTTTTGTGTAACAGCAGTATGGGTCTTTCACCAGGTAAAAGCTGTCTGGTTAGCATCATAAACTGTACCTAGAAATCGAGCTTTGTTCACTGACTATGACTAGTTTATTTTGTTGGTGAGAATGTGTAAAAAAAAACCTGATGTAGATGCGAGAATATTAAAATGGATCCTGTTGAAATAGGTCACGACAGTGTGGTTAAATTTAGAGACCAGTGGCAGGCTCTTCTATAAGTTAATGAACATTTGGTTTCAATAAATGGCAGGAAAGTGACTATTAGCTTCTTAAGAAGGACTGTGTTCTCCATGGAACTAGTTACTTACTTAGTCAGTGGGTTAACATATTAGTTAGTCAGTTAATTTATTCCTGAAACCAAAAATTAATGTGTTTACCAGTTAGGCCTAGGTCACTGTGCAGTAACGTCTGCAGGACGGAAAACTGCCTATTCACTTTGTAGCAAAAGAGATTAAGTGAATTAGGTATTGTTACTGCGACCTAATTTTAACCTTTTCTTTAGAGCAATAAACCATTTCTGCGACCATGATCTTCTTTACTGAAAAGGGAACGCATCTGAGACGCAGTGAGCAGAGCTAAATATTTATGGTTTTTAATAGTTAGTTTTAAACGGGGAACATTATTCGCTGTTAAATATATGGATTTGTTTTTTGTGTGTGTTTTATTTTCACTTGGTGTCTTATTTTACAGTCTACTGAACTCGTGTAAAAAGCCAGATTAAATTCAACGGCAAATCTGTTCCTTCTCACATTCTTTATACAGTTCTCAGTAATATGAATCTAAAACAGTTTATAGGCAAAACATTGCTCTAAACAGGCCGTTAGAGAAGAATAATATTAAAATGTTCTTCCCTCGTACGTAATTTCAATGTTTTCTCCGAGATCCACGCCCATTTAAATATGTGCTCTGTAACCGCAAGCAAAAGCCAGACTGACTTTTGTATAATAGGTGTTGTTTAGCAGATAAATGGAAGCACTGCAACCAAGGCAAGATATTCTATTTTATGCATTATTTCGTAATGTTTCTGAATTGCATGCATATAATTATCAAACATACATGGTCAAACTTCTCGATATTGATGTCAAAGAAAGATCCAGCAGAGAACTTTGCAGGGTCTTGAGCTCGTTTAATTACCATAAGAAGGAGGCGTTTGAACATGGTAGACTGACCATACCAGTTACAATCGTAAGCCGCAGTTTTGACTCTCAGACTCTAAACAAAATATTCTGAGATTAGTTTCACAGTTTTGAGGATATCAAAATTATTGATACAATATAAGTTTTTAACAACAATCGAAGAAATCAATCTTCGTTTTGGTAAAATGAATTTTTCTAGGGCTATCAGCCGTGTCTGGTGGTTGAAAGGTTGGTAGCCCGAGTAGAACTCGTTGTGCGCAGTCGCCTTGAAAGATTCAGATAATTCATCCTTTCGGCACATAAATATTATGAATGTATAATAGCATCTTTTATATGCTAATTTTTAAGTCTGTTACCTGTTGAATCAATCTCTCTCCGAGCCAGCATAACAAGAGAGACTGACTTAATACGCCAATGATACTCATAAAATGCTTGAGGATGGCGAACCCTGTTCCAGCTGTCTGTACAAGTCAACGCAAAACAAAGTCAACAGTATTACATAGTTATATATATTCTTTGTAAATTGAAGATTGTTAACATAGAATGCTTATGATCTATTTGCATACACAATTTAAAATTGTTAATTACTTATCGCCACCATATAAAAAGCTAGTTTCAGGTAGCCACTCTGTCGTTTTTTTACAGAATGCCTGTACAAAGCATTACCGTAGAAACAGTTGCATTCACTTGAAGATCTATTACCATATAAAATGTCAGGATCCTATAGTAAGTGGCGCTAGTGTTGTACCCACCTTGTAAGTTCGCATGGACACAATCGTTATTGTTGTTGTTGGACAGTTAAAAATACATCTGTCAAGTTTCATGATACAAAGGTTATAGGTTTATTTCATCAGTTACGATTGAACTTAGGATTTATTGAAGACCAGACTAGTATACTAACAGCATCCTGGCTGTTAATAGTGGTCAAGAATAATACACTGTGTGTCCATTTCTTACTTTGTTATGTATGTCTTTACGAGCATAATTATCAAGCATAATTAACAAATTAACACGAGCATACTGTACCGCGGCGCGTAAAGGAGTCCACTTACCGTTGCTAATTGGAACACCTCGGCCACTAGAAGCAGCTGGTGAATTAGAAGTGCGAAAGCAATCCAAGGGCTTACAATATGATTCAAATGACGCGTGAAGCTGTAAATGAAAACAGAAGCTGGAATTCATTTCCTAAAATGAATTTCATAAAGGGATAACAAAGGGCTAGGTAACGTAAAAGAGAATCGGATATACTTGTTGGAAATAATTCATGTATGGTAAAAGGAAAAGCAAATATGTAAAATGACAGGGAATGAATAGATCAAAAATAAAATTTCGGTATCATAATGATGCAGATTGTAAAAAAGAAGTGCACACTCCTTTGTGTCTTCAAAAAACAGGCCCTGGGAAACTTCTGCGATAACGACACTGAGGGAAGATCACCTAGGAATGTATCCAATACTTATAGAATCTAGAACGTCATAATGAAAGGAGTAATAAAACGTTCAAAGTCGGTCCATGAATACTCTAATAACTACGAACAAAGCACTTTTGTGATTAGAATAATTAAAAGCTAAAAGAATGCGGTATAAATTTGAAATTACAAATATGAAAATAATAAATAAAACTGTTGTAGTTAACTGCTTACCACGGACGAGGAGGTGCTACTCAAATATTCTACATTACTTTAAAAACAGGATGGGACGGACGGATTTGGGTGATTTCTGTATGTTTCCTACTAACCTCCTTTTGGAGAAAACAAGTTAGCTTGTTTCTAAAATATAACTTTTTGAAAATCTCTAGGCTGTTAGGCCTACAATACAACATGATGTAAACTTCAGTTGTTTTAAATAAAAATCTTCAAAACGTGATAATCTTCTAAACTTTTTTTGTATTTGCAGCTTTTTTCAATGATGCACCAAGTTTTTTGGACACCCCCTGGCTAATTATAGAAATAGAAAATAATTTCATTATTTTCGAGTCGTCTCTTCTAGAGGAACGTATTTTATTTTTACCATTTGTTCCTACGACCTTTGAACACCCTTTTGTTCAATTTTCGAAATGTAACAAAACAACAGCTTTCCTGCGGTTATCTCTCCAAAAGGACACTTTCTTTGTCAACAGTCTATTCTACGACGCGCCGTTTGGGAGAAACAGGGCGAGAAGGACGGAATTTGGCTATTTTGTCTGTAAGTATGGATAAACTACATGTGCTTACAAGTTACTAAAGTCTGCATAAATGAGAAAAACTTACTCGATTGCGTCTTGGTGTTGTTTAATACATTCCACAAGGAAATCTTCTATTCCAGAACATTCAGAATTAAATACTCCGTCTAAACAAAGCTGAAGATCATTTCCAACAGGGTAATTGTTAGGGTCAGTTACAGATGTTCTGGATTGTAATTGGTTATATTTAACAAAATCCTCATCAACAAGAGTTTCTTTTCCGCTATGACATTCAAGTGTTGCTGTGATCTGTTCAAGTTTGTCATCTTCATCTTTATTTGCAGACATCATTTCTCCCATACTTAAGAACGAAGACTCCACTACCTTGAATTTCGCTGTTGCATGAAGGACTAGGTTTAAAAACACGATATTAGAACTTGTGTTATATAACGAAGCAGCGAAATAGACAATAACCTGGACAATGTAAGTAACTGCATACATTGGCATTGTCGTTGTATCGTAAGGCACCCAGATGATGTACATTAAGTATGGCCATGGTTTATATTCAGATTGCTGTGGAATTGTATCTTCGTCAGTATTTTCACCTTCAGATAAGCTGTGTACTAGCAAATTTACAAGCGGGAAAACAGCCCACATCAGCGTTCCCACATTCACGGAAAGGAAGATGAACCATGACAATTTCATGCAACTGGACTGCGCCTCCTTAACAATCTTCTTGTGAGTTTCGCTGAGTGCAGAATTTGATATATCTGGCACTGGCGACGAATCAACTCTATCAAACAATTTCCATATCTGATCCCTTTTAATTTTCAAATATGCTCCCTCCCAGTAACACATTACGAAACCGGTTGTTAAGAATAGATTTTCCATCGTAACGTCGAGATCTCCCCAGTACTGGTACACACCGAGGATCTGCGCAGTCAACACCAGTGCATACAGCACGAAGACGCATGGAGTAAAGAGGTAATACAGGCCAGACTTGAAAGTACTGGCTGAAATAGTTTTGGTTGGAACCGTGAATGATAAGTGGAGCACCATGCGATTCAAACTCATTACTTTTAATTCATTAGGCGAGAGTTTGTCTTCCACACCCTTGGTTGTAGTCTGATTATCTAAATTGCCCATCTTAAAAGACATTCCGATCTCTGAAACATACGTGAATGATATTACCAATTTGAAACAGAGACTACTTGAAATAAGCACATTATTTAAAAATTATTCTACAGCAGTTGTGTGAAATACTTAGGGTATTAATGTTTTTTTTTCTCTCCATGAAACCATTTTACATAACATGAAAGAAAACTGGGTGGAGGCGTTCTTTACGAAGTATAGTGGTCAGTAAAGGAAGGAAATAAATACTGGTGTTTGAATGTAATTCTAAATGGTCTGAAAAAGGAAATGTTTTATCATTTATAGGATGGTAAAATTAATATACTTCCTTGCTTTTGTAGAATGTCTTCACTGAAAACAAGATGCAATATTATAAACTGGTTTTTGACTCAATCTTAACACGTTTATTGGTCTTGACAAACTAACTAAAGATTTTCCAAAATATATTGTATTTCAAATGCTGAGTTCGTGTCCAGCAAATGTATCTTCATAATAAATTCATAATACGTGTAGGTCTACGTCAGATGTACATAGGAATACCTTTCTAACTACAGCCGCAATTCAAGGAAACTCGAATGGCATGTGACCCGAGCGGTACGAGATAACGAGACGTAATTGCAGGTTTCAAGCCATTGGCCTATCGCACGATTAGAACTATGCAAATCACACGTCGTAGGTAATATCGAACGTGAGACTTCAGGTTCTCACGGCGGCGAGTACCAAGACGACTGCGAAAAATCCCAGTTATCTTAATGACACACTCACAAGGAAAAGACAAAATTTCATCACAGGATACTGACTTCTAAGAACCTGAAGATTAAAATATACAAAACAATAATTTTGCCTGTTGTTTTGTATGAGTGCGAAACATGGTCTCTCACTCTCAGGGAGGAACACAGAATGCAGGTGTTTGAGATAGAGTGTTGAGGAGGATATATGGGCCTAGGAGAGAAGACGATGGGGCATGGAGAAAACTGCATAATGATGAGCTTAAAAATTTGTACTCCTCCCCCAAAATTGTTAGGGTGATTAAGTCAAGAAGAATGAGATGGGCGGGGAATGTGGAATGCATGGATGGGGCGAGAGGTGTACACCGGGTATTGGTCGGGAAGCCGGAGGTGAAGAATTGCTGGGGATACCTAGATGTGGATGGGAGGATAATGTCAGGCGGGATCTATGGGAGATAGGAGTTGAAGGAGACTGAATTTTGTTGGCCCTTTGCAGGGACCGGTGGAGGGGCTTTTGCTAATTCAGTGATGAACCTTCGGGTTCCCTAAGCCAGCTAGTTAGTTGGATACTAACTCCTGTTTCATGGACCGCATGGACACAAACATATTTCCTTTTGTGTGATAAAAAAATATGGTCTTCATTTGTGGAACTAAGGAGCGTAAATTAGGGTCTTTTGACTTTTTCAACTACAGAAATCATAGGCGTCGAAAAGGACAATGATTATGAAAAGCGAATGACGTTTAAGAAATTGTCAGTGCGTATTTAAATACTTGTCTGCAGCGACTCAGTGAAATGGCGTAAAGCTTTAATCAATTTTTCTAACCATTCAACAGTGGCATTAATTAAGCTTTGTTCAATTGACAAGTCACTCAGCCACTCAAGAAATTTCCATTTTCTGGAACCTGAAGGTTCATTAACATTTTCACAAAAGCCTGCTACTGGTCCTTCACTTGAGCCAGATGAATCCACCCCATCCTATTTCTCTAAGATCCATTTTAATATTATACTCCCACCTACGTCTAATGGGTTCCTAGTGGTCTCTTTCCTATTGGTTTGCCCACCAAACCCCTGTATGCATTTCTTTTCTTAGCTAGCTCAGGATAGTCTGGTAGCGGGCTTTTGCAAACACGGTGAGGCCCCGTCGGGTTCAACAAAGCAGAATATCAATCAACTTTTCAAAGAATATCCTACACCACAGAGTGAGTAAACTGATAATTCATATCCGATCTCAGTGAAGTGACTTCTGCACCATCCAGTATAAAAAATGTAAGAAATCATGTTCTCACCAATTATAAAACAGCCACACCCAGATGAAATACCTCTACTTTGATAAAGGAGAAGGAAACCAAGAAATAATGACAATGATCATTGAATTTTAATTCACATTAATTAGTAATGGTAATCAATAGCAATCTTTCTCATAATTTACTCCGTCTATCATAAAGACTTCAATTAACATAATGGTTTTCATATCAGGAAATTGACCAAATGACAGTGCTGAACTACTTGTATGCAGGGCTATAATTTACTGCAAGGATTATAAAATATTTATTACCCGGACAAGTGGCACTACGCCTGACATTCATGATGATATTATACGTAATTTATTTCAGAGAGTATGTTACATTTGCTTTTAGATGACTGCAATAGGAAGCCATGCCCATCTTATGGCATACAGAATGGGCACTTAACCTTCAAAAGTTAGTAACCTGGGCAAATTTGAACATGTATATTCACATCATGGAAAAAGTAGCCAGGTGGCCACTTCGTTCAAGAGCCCAGAATATCAAGTAAAAATGAGGGTTATGTGCAAAGACTTCAAAATTCACAGAGGCGGCAGAGTAGAGCAAGAAGAAGAAATAACTCTCTCATATAGTATAAATAAATTATAAATAATCAGGTGTAGTAATTCCAACACAAATGTTAAAAAATACCTCTAATATTACAGAGGAATGTTCTTTAAATGTTCAAAAAATACTAAAAAGCAGAATTATTATTTCAAATCCTTTTATTTACAGCAAAAAAGGTTCAGAAAAAGTTGTACTATTAATAGTAAAACAGAAGAGCAGACTCTTTATAAGATGGTCTCTTACCTAAAATGAAGAATGTAAATTACAAAGCACTCAGGAAGATATCTGGACCTAGGAAGGATGAAATATATGTTGAATTTTGAATATTACATTTTGAGGAACTGTGTAAATTGTACAGATCTCCTAACATAGTGAGGACAGTGAAAATCAGTTCATATACAAAACTGAAATATGGAATTAAGGCACTCCAATTTTAATTACCACCAATCCAGCTGAGATACTCAAGACTCTTATCTAATGGATTATAATATCTAATGAATAAATTTCCTTTATGGCAACCACCAATGTTTCTTGGTTTACTTAATGACAATCAACTGTATACATTATACAAACAGAATGATAAATTTAAGATGTGAAAGCAAAATGGACACTGGTTACTGCCCCCAGCATTTTCAAAAGGGGATTAGGGAAAACCATTGAAAATTAGTTCTAACTGCATAATTCATAAAATATTACTTTTTAATTGCAGTGAACAAAATATTTTAACTTAAGAACACACAGAACACCGACACCCCAAGTGTACATTAATGGTTACAGCCCTCATGTTAATGTAATAACCCCTAGCTCTGCTCTTCATGAACAATCAAACAGAAAAACAACGCACTAAAAAAATACCAGCCTCACCTAGGATGGACAAAAGTATGGACAGATCAACAAAAATTAAAATAAAACAATATTTAAATGCGATGTTTTCAGTTTCAATTAAATTAACAGTAAATTGCCAGATCCTGTATGATATATAATAGCAACAACACAAAAAACCTGCTATCGATAAACTACTTTAATAAATTTAATTGTTTTAATTTTCTGTGTATTTGTGTCAAATTTCAAACTCAGACCTGATACTATATGAGAAAAATTTCTCTGTAAAAATCACATTCACTATTAACAACTAATAATAGATCTATGGATGTTACATACAATTTGTTTGTACGATAAACAATTTTTAAGAAAATGTAGAGGTTATACTGGATCAATACAGCTGCAACTAATTTCACATAACACTGTATCAAAATCGGCTTAATTGACAAGTTAAAATGCAACTGAAATTAAATATTAAAACAGTATAATGAGTCATTCTACATGCTTCAGCATCAGCTGTGTCACAATCAGGCGTACATCACTCATTGATATCTAATTTTAATTGTACTTTAAAAATGTTGTATAAGACGATTTTAATATATTTATATGTTAGATTGTTCCAAATGGCAATGAATTTAACTTTTAAAATTGAATTTACAAGACTGGAGAACTACAGTATCACAAATTGCATCAAAAACTAATCAACAGATTCAGAGATGAAACACAAGGACAGACAAACACTGCCTCTTCATACATCAATTTTATGTATTTTGTACAAAGACTGCATGAGCCAGGATAGCTCAGTCAGTATAGTGACTAGCTACGGGCTGGACGACCGGGGTTCGATCCCCGACAGGGGCAGAGGATTTTTCCTCTAGCGTCTGTATCTGGGGCCCACCCAGCCTCCTCTACAACGGGTACCTGGGTCCTTTCCCGGGGGTAAAGCCGGTCGGGGCGTGATGCTGACCACTCACCCCCATCTAGTGCCAAGGTCAAGAAAGAGAGGAGCTATACCTCCACTCACCCCAAGCGCCTGTATGGCACGTAGCGGGACAAACTTTACTTTTACAAAGACTGCATAAAAATGGATTACCATTTAGTTTCTTTTCTTCAAGAGTCAGATGTCTCACATTCTTTTTTAACCTCAATGCCCTTACTGATGCAAATCTTGATGAAACTCAGAAAAATGTTCATTAATATTGAGGTTACATCTTTATTCAACAAAAATTTGAGTACTGTGGAGTATAACAATGAAATGCAATACAGTAAGTAAACAGAATAACCAAACAAAGACTTCTCATTGTAAAAAATAAACCTTAAATAAGATAAACACGCAAGTGACATATGTACCTGCTTAACTCAAATATTGTGTGTTATTTAAACAAAAGAGATAGAGCTCTTGCAAGAAGAATCCACTGCCATATCTCTCCAAATAGAATCACTATGCAAATAAAACATTCAGTGCTCATCCTTCATACACATGTAGGATTTGAGGTTTTCATGGTGGTGAGTCCAAAGATGGCTGTCTTCTGGGTTGCAGTGCTGTGTAGTCTGGTAGAAATTTACCAACGTTTCAGAGGTCCATGCTGCATCATCTGAAATGTTGGTCAACTTCTACCACACTAGACAGCTCAACCCAGAAGACAGCCATCTTCATACACGTGTTTGGCATCCATTGTACCATTAAGTGTTTTATCATAATGCATTTTCCTCACCAGCTTCCTTCCTTTTAATAGCATCATTTATAATCAGTTTAGTCTTATGTAAAAAGAAATTTTGAAAGAAAATAAACAGAATTTAAGGAACTTATATTGGTTGTAAAAAAACAATACTAAGAGCAAACAAAGGTAATTCTTTCCTAAGTCAATGATATAGCTATCCCATACTCAGTAACAACCCAGAAGACAGAAATCTTCAGTATGTTTTGTTTTTAAAAGTTATTTACATGTACTTCTGATAAGTTTTATTACTACTAATATCCCAAGCAATCCACTAACTCTGTTCAAGATTGGGTAAGAATAGTTAATTATGTAGATTCAAAATGCATTATGGACCAACAAATCTGATTCTGCTACCAGACCTCAGCACTGAAAAATATGACAACACACATAAGTAAATCCATACTCATAAATTTATAAAGCAAACAATTTGTCTTGTGTATAAACAATTTTAGAAATCAATAAAAACAGCTTAAATACAATAACTTCGATATTTTTCAGAACATGTAGTAATTTCACTTCAACCTTGAGGAAATGTCTAAATCAACCCTTTGAGAATAGTTAAAATCAATTCTCATCTGTAAATGGTACATTTGTAAACTGCCAAACACACTGTAAATCAAAAGTTTCTTATTATGGAATTCATATTTACATTTTATACATTTTTCACTAATAATCACAGTGCCCTTCAGCATTTTACATAGGAAGTCTAACATGTAACAACAGTCATATACAATAAACATTTTCTTCTGACATTCCTATCAATTCAAACTACCCTAACACTTTACTGGAAGCTACAATCTACCAAGGGCTAAAATCTGAAGGAATCTTACCATCCTGTATTTATATAAGATAAAATCTCAATTGGGTTTGACAGCTTGACAACTATGGTAGTAATTTTTGTTTTACAACATTAGTTTCACAGCTGACAGGCATAAGAGTCTTGACTCTTCATCACAATATAAAAAGAATTCAGAACTCACGGTATAAGTTGATATATACCTTTAGATTTGGAGGGAGTGGGAGGGCCTGAATTTTACTTCTCATGTAAGTGGTATAGGAACCAGTTTCCGACATAGATGTATCATGGACCTCCATATTATTACTGGCAGGACCCTCTTGCATCTCTTCTTCAGACTTTTCATCACTTTCCTCATCAGCTGCAATTCCAAGTCTCTTCCGCATCAATACCTTAGCCCGGCGTTCTGAAGATAACTTGTGAAGTACCTCAAATGAGTTACGAGGGAACTCTTTCACCCGAGAAGAGGTCTTTTCACCACTATTTTGTGATCTATGACTCCTCTTCCCAGCAGAAGGGAGTGGGTCTGAAAAGTCTGAATCTGAATCCACTTCCATAGATGCTCCTGCATCTCGATCAGAATCAGAACTCAAACCTTTCCCATTTTCAGTTTCATCACCAATGCCACTATCAAATTTTGGAATCTTCTTCCTTTGTTCTGGTATGACTGTACTGCTTACACATGCTTCTTC